GGTGGCCTGTAAGGGGCCAGGGGAAGTCATAGTGGGTAGTTTGGTGCACAGTGTGGTGGCACAGTGATGGCAAGCTCCAGGGGGAAGTGAGAGTTCCAGTGAGACCCTGGAGCACAGGTCACAGTGAAGGACTGTGCCCTGTGGATGCCACCTGCAAGGCATGGGACATAGTAAGGAGAGGTCGGAGCCATGTGTAAACCCCTTGGCATCGAGGCATTAAAATGGGCATCCTCCCTCTTATTAATCCCAAAAATTCATGGCAGCCAAGACTGGACACCCTAGATGGAGGGGTGTCCAGTATGCTGACAAGCCAAAAGTAGGCTCCTTCATCGCAGACATGCAAACTAAAATGGGAGAAAAGCTAGCTGATAAATGTAGAAACACTTTAGTAGTTTGCTGCCTGAAAAATTGAACAAGTCTCTATTTTCTGAACTTTTAAGGAATAAGGTTTTAAAAAATTACCAATCATGAAAGAAGTTTTGTCAGGCAATAATAGTTAGCTATTGGCAGAGGATTGGCAGAGACAGATCCATTTGGCAGTATACAGCTATAGGATTTGCATGAATACCCAGGGGTCTGCTTGGTTCACCACAGTGAAGCTTTTAAGGTCTAGTTTTCCTAAGGTTTGGCTATGCTTCAAATTGTATCACAGAACTGCACTCCAACTGCTGTGGGGACATCAAGTATATGGCATCAGCAAGCAGACCAATGTACTGGCAAAGCAGGCCAATTGACTTGTGTGATGGTCATGATATCAATTTTCTCAGCTCTTCAGCTGGAGTTAGAGACACATAAATCTCAAGTGCCTTGAGAGGCTCCACAAAACACTTCTGTTGTATGAAAAGAAAATCAGAAAATACAGCAAGACTATCTGGATATCATTCTGGCCAGGCTGGCCCATCATACAGACTAAAATGCAACATCGAGGAGGCAGTTTCAGAGCCATGACCTCAACGTTTGTCGGGTGCTGTGTGTTGCAACCCCTATATATGTTGCTAGGCCATGTTGCAATTCCACACACAGATTCTGGAATCAGAAGAGTGTTTAGTTTTGTTTTTGAATCAGGATTAGTAGTTTCCCTACCTCTTGCTGAACAGAGTACAATGTTGTACTACAGCTCAGAAAAACAGACTTTAGCATCAGGAAGAAACAGAGGAGGCTAATCAATAGTTAAGAGTTTATTCGCTACCATATTTCATCTCCAGAAGCCACTTGCACCCATGAAAAATGAGTTTAAAGTGCTACCAAATGAGAATGGTTAGGGCTTTTCACTCATTTCACATGAGTATATATTCCCTAAAAGATTGTGTGGTATGGAAATTAGCTTCTTAATCTCAAAGTGACAAATTTTCAAAGAACCTCCATTTGTAACATGAGGTTTTGGGTACAATTTCCTCTATCTGTGCAGATTGTAGATTTAGATATGCAAGCCCCAGGAACACCCACTAACACACATACACATTCAATAGTGCATAAAGAGATGCACAAAATGATTGTACATATAAACTGTGTAAATGGAGGCCAAATTTTCTTAAATGGTGCAAGATTAGTATATTCAGCTATATGGAGGTAAAAATATGACAATTTCCTGATAACCAACAAAGAAGCAAGGCCTCTGATTATAGTATAACTCTTTTTTCTCATTAATACAATTTAATATGTTATGAGGTTGGAGAAGGAACCATATATCATTATAGACTGTTTAGTACGGTGCAAAACCTGTTAAGTATTGAAATAATGAGGGCATTTATCACATATTTCAATTTATTTCCATATAAATTTATTGTTGCATATGCTAATACAAAGAAGTACAAACAAAAAAAGAAACAATTAAATGCATTATAAACCATATGAAAATATAGAGATCTTTACTAAAAATTCATCTTAACAATGAAAGCACCATTTAACATCCAGTACAAGACTGCATTCATTCACTCATTCATGAGAAACTTCTTTCCTTCTAGATAAAATGCTATCCTTCCAAAGACATGAATGCTGTATTTTCAAGACGTACAGTATGTTTTATTTTGGTAACCAGTAAATGTCACACAATATCCATAGCCACTACTGATGCATTAATGTTTTCATTAAACAATGAAGATACCTTTCCTCATTACATTACATATTTATAGCATATGGATCTGTCAAATAAATTATGACAAGGCAGATAAAGCCAGACCTTGTGACACTTGAATCACAGAATCAGGGCAAATAACCTTTAAAATGAAAGACATATGATGAAAATTAGAGACATTTAATTTGCATAAATATAATGTTAACAGTCTTCCCCTTACTGCATATTTCATACCTAATTTATAATTGTCACCACATTAATTTCTTAATGCCAGTTTGAATTCTTTTTTTTTTCATCTTCACTTGCTTTGTTTTTTGAATGTGTACTATGTTAACACTTTAAGAAGCATAGCCTCACAGCTAGTTTTTATATTGGTGTTGAGGGACACATTTGAAGCTGACAGAGGAAAAATCAAAATTCAAATGATGAAGAACCTGAGTTTGGGACTGATTTCCAAAAATAAGATGATAGCCAAGTGACAAATGAATATGACAGCTCAGAAAATATTGACCATCTTTTGATAGCAAATAAGAATCAGTGCCTTCCTATAAAGTGATAAAAATAACAAATACTGTACTGCTCATGTTCATGTGCACATAATTCAGAAGTAAAACTACTCATTTCCATTCTGGGAGTATAAATGTCAATTAAATCAAAATTGAAGCACCTCAGTAAGTGCCTTGATTTTCAGAGGTGCTTAGGACCTGACACCCCCAATGCTGCAATTAGTTCATGCCTTCTTATTTGTTAATTAATGTAAATCTTCCTCAAACCTGTTGTTTTTAGGTACTGAGTTGCCCCAATCCCTTCAGAAATCAAGAAGACCTAACAGAGCTCAGAACCCTGCACTGACAGTACAGGACAAATTCATTTATGCAAGTCACATTTATCTCAAAACCCCAGGAAGGACAAGAGCAAGAACACAGGCATTTTAAGGGTGTTCATATAAGTAACAGAACAAAATGTAAAGATGACTAGCCCAGAAACCAACACGCCTTAATCCAATGGGGTCACACTGATCCTTGTGCAAAGGGTCAGTACAAAGACGATGCATACTTAGGAGGGAAGTAAACGGTGCACAAATTTTGTTCTAGCTCTTTCGTCACAAGGGGTCTGTTTAACCTGTTCTATCCTGCTAAGTCAGCTGGTTAACTTTGGCAAAGCTCACTGGCAGTCTAGTGCTGAAGTGGTGTTAGGACACTTATCTCTTAGTCCTACTACATCCTGCTGAACCAACTGCTCAGGGTTTTTGAAGTCCATGCTGTGTGTCAATGGCAGATGCCCAATATAGCTAAGGTTTGTGGTTCTTCCAGCAATCTGTGCTTTTAGTCAGTTTTCTCTACATGCCTGCATTCTCATGGGAGAGTTCTTGATTCAGAACACAGCACGCCAGTAGGCGTGCATATGGTAGAGTTAGGCAAGAAGCCCATCCACTAACAGCTACAATTGTCAGCTACAACAGATTCACAACTCATTGTCGGTCACACAGCTGGGAGTGACATCTGAAAACATGGCACCAGATCACCCATAGAAGGGCAACATGTGGGTATGGCACCAAATGGGACACAACCCTGCCTGCAGAATACAAACCTGTCAACTCTTCTCTACTGCTACAACAATCAACACACT